GAAGGAGCGGTTCTATTGTCGATGTAGAATCGCTCCATCAACAGGCGGTTTGTTCTAGGTCAGCCTCTAAACCTCCTCTCCATGCCACGATTTCTGCATATAATTTATACCGCCACCTTAACGTTGTTCTCACAAAACCGCCTCTCCAAGTGGCGGTTTTCGAAGAATGGTGGTATTTTTGTAATTTGTGTGGGATTGGTGGTATTTTTGTAATTTTTTAAAATAGTGGTATTTCTAGAAAAAAAAATCTTATTTATGATGCAGAGAATGCATAATAAGTTTTTACATGATCATGGAATTAACAATTCGTGCGATTTTAGCAAAAAATATAAGGAAGTAGGATATAATTAACAATTAATGAATTTAGATATATGTGTTATATATTTGAAGATAATTTCTCTAAAATCTACATTTATGTTCAAATAAAATACAAATACTCATTTAAATTTAATATTATCACAAACATTCAAAGTTTATACTCGAATTCAACAAATAACATCAACTTTTAACTTTTAAATTCAATGAACAAATAAAAATTTAGTTAATTAAATTCACCAAAATGACTAGATTTTGTTTAAAGGTTGGAAATCGGTCAAACCTATACCAAAGACATTCCCGTCGATTTTGTAACCAGCACTGATTGTACCCAGTTGTACCGGCCGGCATGCCACCAGTATGACAATAATGAAATTCACCATAATTAATGGCTTAATTTGCCAATCGTATTTTTGTTTTCAAAGGGGTATATTTTCATGTTTATGTTTACAAAAGAATCAGGTAACAAATGGTAACTAAAAGTTTTGGGTTGATGATCGCTAAAACCTGTCCCAGTCATAGTTGATTCAACCCATTTTAATTTAATGTTCATATTACATATATGTAACTACTAACAATGTACGATTATGAGTTAATTAAAAGAAAAGTATATATAATCATCCTTCAAGAACATTTAAGTACTCAGCGGAAAATTTTGCATTTCAAATTTAGTGCTTTATATAGAGTATGACAAATTTCAAAATAAAATATAAGTACAGTGTAATAAACTAAAGGGATGAATAACACAATCAGAATAAATGTAAAAAAAATTATACCGACCACCAGTAGGGGTGGCAACGGGGAGACGAGCAGTTAGCTCCCGTTACCCATCCGTCAAGATTGGGGGATTTTCCCATCGCCGCAGGCTAAACGAGTGGAATATGGTTACCGTCCACGTCCCCAGCCGGATCCGGGTAACCCACAGATCACCACGGATCCTCATGACAAAAAAGGGACAACCTGAAAAATGACTAAGACACTCAGATTCTTGAAATTCAAAGTAACTTGTTGTTAAAGGCACAAAACTCATATCCCACCACCTAGATCTTCATAGTTCAAACAAAAGTGTTAGGTTGCAGCAAGCAAACAAGTTGTTGCAACCAATTTCCCACCACCCAAAACCCATATAACATGTTGCTCACTACATTTACTGACTAGTGTTCAGATTAAAAAAGAAGAGAATGTAAAACAAAGCCAATCAGCCCCAATAACCTCATCCATAAATTAAACTAAAACCTATACTAGCACACGAGTTTCACGAGTTCTTTTGATGTTTTCCTCCAAAAGCAAGCAACCGTATGTTGGAAACCAACTAAACAACAACATTCATACTTCAAAAGCAATCACTACAAGAAATAGAATAGTAAACATTGTTGGATAATTTAAACTCATTTTAAATGGGCAGAAGTTTGGCTCTATACCTTGAACATTTCAACAGATCAGTTATCTATGGATATTAGATGCTTCTTCATCACAAGACCCCCTTGATATGCAAGAATAAAAAAGTACAATTAGAGAATTGAAACTAAGGACTAATTTTAATTGAACTAATTAAACAGAAGATAGAATTGAGAACCAACTAACTTACCAGCTTCCTCTAATCTTCAGTACTAGAACCTGCAATGGCTATAGCTGAGAACACCCCTTCCATTGCCTTGACAACAACCTTTGATGATTCCGCAGATGCAAAAAAGAAGACAATTAACATAAGGAAACTCATAAGGGAGTAATTGCAGGTTACCTTGTTGCATTTCCTCCATAATCCAACTCATGGTACACATCATTGCCTCTACTGTATCATAGTGAAATCTACTCTGTTGAGGGTCTATTAACCTATCACCAGAGCTAAAAGCAAATTCAGAAGCCACCGATGTAACTGGTATGGCCAAGAAATACCTTGCAATTGCTTGCAAAGTGGGGTACTTAAGGCCATTCAGTTTCCACCACATCAATATATCAAAGTCAAGAGACCTATTAGGAATAAGTTCCTCGAGAAGATAGTGATCCAGCTCAGTATGGATCAGAGTTGCTTGGCTCTTTTTCCCCTAACTCACAACGAGATCAAAATCATGATCTTCATTTGCAGGACCAGAAGAACTACCATATGCAGTTGAAGAACCAGAATTGTTCTTCTCGGATTTGGTTTGGTAATCAAGCACCAAACGACAGATACATTGCTTTATCTTATCCGTCATCAAGTCAGTATTGGTACTAGCAAACTTAGGAGCATTATACTCAATCACATGCAGCTTGTATCTAGGATCAAGAACCATTGACACAGCCAAAACCAAGTGTATACTATATATCTTTGTTTTTGGTAATGCAAGTGAGTTATTGGCAACAAAAAAAAAGTTTTAGTCAATGTTTTGAAAACCCCATTGATCGGCTGGATCGAAAATGTCGAATTCCAGTCTCAAAATGATAGGTATTTTTAGCATAACATAACGGTTGAACCACGACTCAATCATGGTTTTACTACAAAATATATTTCAAGTAAATTTTCCGTATAACTTCCAGTAAGGTTTCACAATCATTGGTATCCTTTCATGTATTTTTTTCCACTAAATATATAGCTACTCAACAATGCATAATTTTTTTATCATTTTAATGGATGATATCTATTTCATTTTATGATTATATACCATGAATCCCATTATGCTAAAATTTGGCAGAACATTAAATTATATCATGATAATTTGATTACACCATGATGTTATGAATATATCATAGTTAAAATAATTGTATACATGATAGTAGAAATACCATAACCACCCTTTGCAATCTTCCATCATTGTTTACCCGCTATTTACCACTATCGTTTATGTTAGAATATTTGACCACAAAACATTTCCCCATAAATATATTGAATTCTATAGTTCGAGATGAACATTTTCCTTTTGTGCAAATATTTTAAAATTTTGAGTAAAAACTAAGAAGACTAAATTACATGTATCACTCAATTTATCATTTTTTATGTTTGCCACACAAAAGATTTTTCTTCCTTATTAGTCACTCACTTTAAATCTCATGTAAACTTAGTTAGTGACCGTAAAATTTCTTAAGTTCATCCTACCTCACAATCAACTATTATCTTTGACATTTAGATTGACATGTGGCACTTAAAAATATCTAAAAATATAAAAAATATATATTTATTTTAATTTTGCACCACCACAATAAAAAATTAAAACAAACGAGATTTAACTAAAATGTAGAATCAACTCTCACAAAATATAGTGACACGCAAATCGAAAAGTCCACCGCAATCCAACATAACATGTATGGGAGAGACCATTTCGCCGGATCAAGGTCGAAGGATCCCAAAAGTCTATGTTGCCATCCACATGCACAACAGCAATGAACCCATGACTGTACTGTAACTCTATAAGGGAATCATATATACCCATTTGTTCTCCCATGCGAGAAGGTCAAATCTCTCATGATTTTGCGACTTCCTTACCATTGGGAAGTCATGATTGTCAAATTGATGGAAAATCGAGCTTGAAAATCTTAATGTTGGCCAACAAGCTAAAGAACAGATCGTCCATATCAGCCATCGTCCCGATGACAACATACAGAAGGTTCGACGCCAACAATCCCGATGCCCGTTTGTTCACCCATTTCACACACCAAGATGGAACCAAAAGAAAGAACCTTGAGTTACTGCAATTGTTAGAAACCCAGTTCGCGTGGGTTTCTCTTATTATTTTTCGTAGGATAATTATTATTATGGTTAGTAGAGATTTAGTCTAATCAGGTTATTTGTTAGGGTTTACCGGTATTTTCCCTATAAATATGTACTTTGGGTTTACGTCATAATACGTCAAGAATAATATTATAGAAAGAATCTCTCAAACCCTAGTCCATAATACCTCTCAAATCTCGTCCATCGTCTTCCCTAAAGGCCACCGGCCATTCTTCTATCTCAACCTCAATTCTGTTCTTCAATCCCTAATCCCCAATTCTCCTATCTAAATCCCTAATTTAGTATCCCGAACCCTAAATCCCTCTTTGTTACGTATAATCACGGGTGCCGAAGATAAGTCCCTAGAGACCCTAGAAGCGGGTTTCTTATAGTGTTATCAGAGCCCGGTTACAGGCACTCGTGCCGGAGCCATGTCGAGATTCTAAGGGCTATCAATCAAAGAACACACAAAAATTCTTAGAATGAAGTTGGAGGCTGCAAGAGTGGAGATGAGTATGATCCCAACTCCAACTGTAGCCGTAAAAGAACCGCTAGTCCCTAAAACGGATTTTGAAGATTGGTTGGAGCAACCGACGTTCCCAATCAAGTTCATGCAAAGGGAAACCACCACCGGTGTGAAGGCTGAGAAAGAAGCTGCAGCGGCTGCTGCGACACCGCCATCGACAATAACTGCTTCTTGAGCGACATCACCACCATCGCTGATCGTTCCCCCACCGATCGAGACGAAGCTGGAGATTGAGGAGTCCCTCGCGAAAGAAATGCCTTCACCGCTGCCCTTCACGATAGGCTTGCTCAAGGAAGAAGGGGATCTTGTTTTCCCTGCTCCTGTTACAAGCAAGGAGAAGGCATCTATTTTGGAAGAGAACAATGCTAAAGTTGCAGGGAGAAGGTCAGCGCCAAGCCGCCTTGCAAACTTCAGATTTCGGAAGAAAAACACGGCCAATACGAAAGGCCACGAAGCCGAGAAGTCGGCGCTACAGCAGACGGGTCTGATTGTTCGATCGAGCCCAAAGCCACCAGCCGAGAAAGAAGAACCGCCGAAAGCTAGCGTCGCCGAGTCCTCGCCATTAGCCACAACAGTCGAGACCAAATCGTCCAGAAGCTCGGGCGCCAGACGGCCGAACTCGGCTGCGGCAAGGACTCCCTGTGCGAAGTAGATATGATAACAATCCAGTGGAAGGGTTCGTCGGAGTCGAGAATTTCGAGAGCAGCTCGGCGCTCGACGGTGCCAAAGACTGCCAGGAAGAGTGAGTTTGAGTCTGACATCGAGACCCCAACATCGTCTCAAGGACGTCGGGCTGGGCTGCTAGAGTCACGAAGAGTGCAGTGGGCAAGACTATCATCGGCGGCACCATTTGCGAAGAACGGAGATGGGGCGGAGTCGAGGAATCTCGTGGGTTCGCGATTGGTTTCGCGTTGCGAGATTGAAGTCTCGCCGAATAGGAGAAGCGTGAGAATGGAGCAGCGATCCGCGGCAGTTGTCATCGTCGTGGCGAGGTTGGAGAAGAAGCGCGGAGGCGGGATCCCTTGCTCGCAGCCGAAGAAGACGGCGGTGCGAATCGCGCAGGTGCCGCGATCTGCTCTAACCCCAGTGGAGACGAGAAGCGTCAGGTTGGAACTTCCTCCTAGCCTCCTGAAGAACTCATTGCTGGAGATAGACCTGGAGACGGGGGCGGAGTCGGCCTGGTCGCCGTGTCACCGAAGAGATTGTGCGTCGGCTAAGGGATAGAAGAAGAAGCAGGGCGACAGCGGCGCAAAGCCTAGGTCACTTCTCTTGACCCACGCATGCTCAGCAGAGCACGACCAATGCCAACTGAGCCAACTGTTTCGGTTCGTGTCTCTAGATGGGCCAATCGAAATGGGTCGCGCTCTGTATGACCAGCCAAGCCCGCAGTTGAGGTGGGTCGAAGCAGGCCGGAGTCATGGGTTGGTCTGGGGAAAGAAAAGGGTTGGGCTCAAATCGAGCCAAAAAGAGTGGCTAAGCGGGCTTAAAGGGAGTCCACTGGTTAAGTCTGCTTTGTTTAGTATTGGGCCGAAATCAACAGGTCCACTGACCGAGGAAGATGGCTGAAGTGTTGGGGATGGCAGGCCAAGTCAGACTCAGACTGTGGGCTGATTTTTCAAGAGAGTTGTGAGACATCAATGGGCTATCTTGTTGTATTTGTTTTGCAGTAGAAGAAAGTGAAGAAGGAAAGTGATGGGCCCGTTGGTTTAAGAATTGGGATTTCAATAAAGCTTAATTCAAACCATCTTGGAGAAGAATGGAGACCAAAAGAGATCCTCTCCACCACCAAGTCCATGAAGGAATTTATGGAGCTATTCATTGACCATTCCTTGTTGGTGAGTGATAAGGAGCACAAGGAAGAACAATCCTCGGATTCTTATTTCGTGGATTTCAAAAAGTAAGGGGAAGAATTGTTCATCTATGGAGATCGTGACATGAGTCATGTGGGTAGAGAAGAGACAAGGAAAATGGGAGTCACGCGGGAAGAGTCATTCAAGGAATCGAGCGCAATTGGAAACGAAGGATGCGGAAGGTCAAGAAGACGAAAGTTGGCTACGGCCTTGAGGGCGAGGTCGTTTTTAAGGGGAAGGAGATTGTTAGAAACCCAATTTGCGTGGGTTTCCCTTATTATTTTAGTAGGATAATTATTATTATGGTTAGTAGAGATTTAGTCCAATTAGGTTATTTGTTAGGGTTTACTGGTATTCTCCCTATAAATATGTAGTTTGGGTGAAACACCCTAACCCGGCCGGGTACTACTTTTACTAAAATGCCCTTGATAAATAAAATACTCAGATCTTAAATTGCAGTGGGAAAAATTTTCATAAATAAAATACTGAAAACACACACTTGTAGTTCAGAGCAAAACCCTAACACGTGGGCAAATTAAACTCAAACTTTAAATCTCAATCTAATCTCCAGTCTATACTCATAATCATAAAATGTAAATAACTAAGTAGTCTCTGTCGTTGCTACTACTGAAAATCATAACTAGGCGTCCTCCGTGACGCTTGCACCGCTCTCCTCTAGCTGGTTGCCCTCGAACTTTTCCTCTCAAACTCCCTGCTCTTTAACTGCTCCTCTAGCTAGCTGCTACCGATCTGGTTCTCGCTCATTCCCTTACTAAGGCCGGGTGAGTGAGTTGGGGTCAGTCTACGCCCTTACGTTTTAAACTTTCTAATAATTTTGCACTTCTTCTCAAACACTAAAACTCAAACTGAGGGAAGTTGTTTGTACTTCCATTCTTTAAAATCTTAACTCTTAAAACTGTATGGAAGTAACTGTTACTCTCCATTCTTAAAGCTTAAATCTCAACTTAAATTCTTGACTGACACGGGGATCCCTCACTAGCTAGTCAGGTTGCCAACTCATACGTATGAGAAGCCATCAAGGCTTTCCTTAAACTTAAATTTATCGTGGAAGGCTCTTCTTCCACGATTCTCAAGAGCATAACTACTGCTCATCTTAAAAATCTCAAGAGCATAATTGCTGCTCAACTTAAATATCTCAAGAGCATAACTGATGCTCTGTCTCAAAGATCTCAAGAGCATAACTGCTGCTCTATCTGAAAATCTCAAATGGCAACGGACTGACGCTAGTGACTAAAAACACTTAAAACGACTTCACCTTCTTGAAGGTGAGTTACTTCTTAAAAAGAACTTGTTTCTTAAAATTTAACAATAACTCATAACATAACGCTTCAAGGTAAATAGCACAAAATCACCCCAAATCACCTCAAATCATAGCTCAAGCAAAGCACAAATAATCAATCATAAACATAATCAAGCAATGGTAACCAATTCAATAAAATACTTAAAATCATAATACTTAAAAGAATACGTACGACTTAGAATTTACCCCCTTTACACTCACCTTAATATCAAGTTGATTTACTTGAACTGACCATCATCCAAGGGTTGATCACCTTAAGCTCGGCCCTCCTTTACTTGAAGTGTGCACATAATCTCCGTCCTGGGTGCTTTTAAAAATTCTCTTTGCATAATAATCCATCTCATATTCAATCCCCGATGCTTAATTGATAATTCCATGCCTTGTACATTACTACCTGAACAACTGCATATACCAACGACCATCATCCCATTGGAGATGATGATCGACCACTCCCTTCAATCAATGACTCACAGCAAGCTCCCAAACCATTCTCCAACCCTGACCAATCACAAGATTGACGTGTCCTAATGCCATTCAACACGTTGCACAAAAAATTCCACCCCCGTAGTCTATCACTTTCCCAATTCTACACCACCAAGCCAAGTCATCTCGGGTATTAGGAAAATGGCCTCCTGGGCGAGAGAGAACGGCGACGTTCACCCTTCATCACCATGAGCAAAGTACCGGGGTGAGGTGATAAGCCGTTAATTGCACATGTTTTTACCCCTATTCTGGAGCCATTTGAGGTGTTGATTCGATTGGACGAAGATCGGACGCGAGGCGAGTAGCTGAGGAAGCCACACGGGCACACACAAAACCCACACGGCCATGCAAGTGACCAATGTGGCCGTGTGGGATTGTGCGAGCCTTCACACGGGCACAAATAAATCTCACACGGCCGTGTGAAGGAGTAATTTGGCCGTGTGGAATTCTGCGAGGCTTCGCACGGGCAAGCTGGGCATTCCACACGGCCGTGTGCCCCTGGCCGTGTAGGAAGCCTGAAACCCACATAATCGGAACGCGGCATTTTGATCTCGCAAGTGAGAGAATCGGATTTTCAGAGCAAAAATAGAGCCCTAGAGAGAGAAAGTACGAAGAACACATCCTAGAAGCCATCTTGGAGCTGGGTTTCATCAAATCGAGCTTGGAGATCGTCATAGGAGTGGAAATCATCATCCCAGAGTAGATTCTTCCCACTGTTATGAGTATGACTGCTTTGTATTCTGTTTTCCCCTCTCTCTCTATGGAGTAGAACCCTTCTCTCACTTGGGTATGAAGAACCCTAGTTCCATGTGTTAGGGATTTGTTTGTAATGACTTGGGATGATTATATTGTTTGGTTTTAATCGAATGATGAATGTTTATTGAATTGATTGAAGTCTGATCAGCTTTTCTTGATTTCTGCTGCAACCTGATATAGATAGAATCTGATTAGGTTGTTAGAGCCTCATCATTCGGTAGTAGGAGATTGGCTATACGAGAGTTAGCTAGTTTACTGCTTTGTACTGGAATCCAATTCCAGTAGTGGAGTTCTGTGCTTATTGCTTCAGCTTTCTATCCCGGTGAAGACTAGTCGTCTGCCGGGTAGTTAGACTGAGAGGGCTTGGTCAGCTTAAGAGATTCCAAGCTACTGTTGGATCTTCCGCAGTCTAATCAACAGTAAATCAACCCAGGGTAATTACAATTGAGACCTAACTAAGGAGCTAGGGGGACTCATTCCCGAGTGACTCTTCTTTGCTTGAGAAGACCGTACCAATGAATGCTTTCTTACTGTTTTTGCTTAAAACAACAATCACTTAACTTAGTTGGCTAGATAATAGATAATCACGGAGTAAGCAGTAGATCTAGACCCCGGGTTGATAATAGAACTTGCCACTTTACTGCATTCCCGGACTGCGATTACACTTGGTCGCAGTTTGGTGTTGTGTTTTAGCATGTCAAGTTTTTGGCGCCGTTGCCGGGGAACCTCTAGGTTATTTTGGAAACGTGAAAATTTGTACTCTAGCTTTTTCTTTACTGCATTTTATCTCTTCCACCTGTGTGCCTTCACGGGTTGCTTCTGCTGATTGTGTGCAGGTAGTGCCGTAGCCAGTCGGGAGATCTACTACCATTAGACCAGGAGCTTGAACGAACCTGCAGAAACTTCAAGCGGGCTCTAAAGGCGCGACCGGCTGCGGAGGAGGAGCTAGCACAGCTGCAGATCGCTGAAGAAGAAGATATGGGGGATCCACAGGACCATGATGTGGTCCTTCCCAAGGAGCAGACCATGGGATCCTACTGGACTGCCAGGGCTGTGGACATGAGGTCACCCATTCAACACCCTCATGTGCTAGCAAATAATTTTGAGGTGAGCACCTCAGTAATCACCATGCTGCGCGGTTCAGTGGTGTTCCGTGGCAAAGAGGGGGAGTGCCCCCGATCACATCTCAGGCGATTCCACGAGCTCATCGATGGAATCAAGATCAATGGGGTCCGAGCAGATGCCATCCAGTTGAGGTGATGCTCCAAAACACAACACCTAACAATGGCCAAGTGTAACCAATGAAAGGGACTGCAGTATAGTGGCACAAGTAATAAATATCGAATCCACGGGTCTCTAGAGTTACTATTACTCAGCTTCAGTTCATTATCTAGCAAACTAGATTAAGGATTGATTAACTAAACTACTCTACTAACTAAACTAAGTAAAACTACTAATTACAGTTTGGGAACTCACTTAGGTATGATTCCCCCTAGCTCCTCAATTAGGTCCAAGTTGTAATTCATTTTGGTTGATTTACTGTTGATTAAACTGCGGAAGATCCGACAGTAGCTTGGAATCTCTTAAGCTGACCAAGCCCTCTCAGTCTAACTATCCGGCAGACGACTAGTCTTCACCGGGATAGAAAGCTGAAGCAATAAGCACAGAACTCCACTACTGGAATTGGATTCCAGTACAAAGCAGTAAACTGGCTAACTCTCGTATAGCCAATCTCCTACTACCGAATGATGAGACTCTAGCAACCTAATCAGATTCTATCTATCTCAGATTGCAGCAGGAATCAGGAAAAGTTGATCAGACTTCAATTGACTCAATAAACATGCATCATTCGATTATAATCAAACAATATAGCATCCAAAACTTCATACAAGAAAGATCCTAACTCATGGAACTAGGGTTCCTCAAAACCTAAGTGAAGGGAAGTTACTCCATAGAGAAGAGAGAGACTGCAGAAATCTGATCTAGATCTTCAATCTCCATCTCCAAGCTTGATTCCCGAGCTTCAATGGCGAAGAAATCCTCCAAAATAGCTCCAAGAATGTTCCCAAGTCGCTCTCTCTCTCTAGGGTTCGTCCCTTGGGTGTTTGGGATCCAAAACCCAGCTCTCTCTCTCCTTTGGC